TGTGTTGAAGGACTGCAGCCATCAGAACCAGGAATGCAGTTGCATAATGAAATGCATTTTATTCACAGTATTGAGAGTCTTTGTCTTAATGTAAATTTTTAAAATATTTCAGAAGCTGAGCATCTATGGAGATTTGGAATACATGAATGAACAAAAACTGAACAGATATCCATCCTCTGCACTTGTTGTGGTTAGATGCAAGACTGAGGAACATGAAGAAGCAGGACCTCTTCCTACAAAAGTCAATCTGGCTCAATCAGCAATTTAAACAAGTCTCCACTGCATCCAATAGACTAATTCTAACAGAGCTAGCAACTCCTGATTGTTTGTGGTGGTTCTTCAGATAAGAAGCTTAGCAGCCAGTCTTTAAATGCAAATAAAGTTACAGAATCAACAAATGTCATGGGATTTTGTTTTCAACTAGTAGTGAAGATTCAGACATCTTGGATTTATGTTTGTTTCCAGACATAATCACTTTTCACTGGTGTTTGCTATGTGTCTTTTTGCTTACAAAAGCTGTAAGCATGCTTTCCATACTTCTGCCATGACACTTTCAAACTTATTTGTGTGTTCTAGGATGTAATGTGTACATTCAGAGTTAGCTTTGTAAAGGTATAAGAAATTTTAAGTAGGCAGGGGATGCCTTTTTAGTGTTGCACTTTCTGTTGTAGTTAAGAGAAAATATTATAAAATTATCTGCTGAATTTTTGTACTTGTTAATGTCCATGCACAAACAACCCTGTCTCCAAAAATAGAAATATATTTTTTCTACAGTGTGGCAATATCTGAGACGGAAAGCATTTGTGAGGTACTGTAGGCTAGAACTCAGTTTGTGAAAGATGGAAACTTCGTTAAAACTTACGGACGTATCCCTTCACACAGAGAACGTAACATGGTCAATTATTTTGTCAAACTTTAGCCTTTAAGTCTTAAATTGCTTGTAAAGTTAGTGCCTGTGTTTTCTGAAGAAATTCTACTTTCTGTTCTTGATTAACTATTCTAGTCTTGTAACTTCATTTACAGAAACAAGTTGATTCCTGAGAAATGAGAACAGACAAATAAAATTGACTGTATAGAAAATGTTGACTATATAGCTTTTTGCTATGGTTAATTATTGACCACAACATATTCAGTATGAAAGCCTGTCTGCAGCATTCCTCTCGTGGGCAATGTGACCCGATTTTGCTATATGATTCACTAACACAACAACAACTAACAATGTCCCTCATATTATTTCTAATATATTTTTTGCGGTTCTTTTCTTTGAGGGGATTACTATATGCTGGTTCCCATAGCATTGGCAAGTTGGGGTTGTATGGGATTTATTTTAAGGTCTCTGTAAGCGTTTGAAAGCTGGCTAGGATGCATGATCTCCAACTCATCATCATATTTTGCTGATTGTACAGAACTCCCTTGAAGCTTTGGAAAAAAAAAAACCCAAACAACACTTCTTCAGGTTTTGAATTCTGGTGAGAACTGTAGAGGTTCTGGAGATACAGTGATGTGTTCCCTCGCTGTTCAAAGTGGTTCAATAGTCATTCCGAATTCGGCTGTAATGCTGATGGTCATGTAACTACAGATGATGGAGCCTTGCAGGGGCCGTTAAGCAGGAACGTGCATTAAGTGGCCTGTACAGTGCTGCTGAAAACCCCAGCCTAGAAGGACTCGAGCAGTTTTTCCGTCAATGAGGTTTAAGAGCATTAAGCGATGTTTGTTTTAGGCAGGCTTGTATCAATGTGCAGAAATTGCAATTTAAAGTCTTAAATTAGTGGTACCTCTTCATGCCAAATTCTTCAGTGGGACAACATGGTAGCCCAGAAATTTGGGTGCCAGCAGCCATTGACAGGTGCCTTTGTGTGTAGGTGGCATTATCGCAAAGGCCTCAAGCGTGACTGTTGTGAAAATCGATGGTGTGATGTTTTCGGAACGCTTCACTTGCATGATAGCAGGGGCGGGAAATCCCTCTGTCTGCAGTAGTGATTCAGTCGAGACGTGCGTTTCTGCTCACGTAGTGCAAACCTCAGTATACAGCCCTGTGTCAGTGCAGGACGCCAGTGTTCAGCTTTGAGCAGTATCAAGTGTGATGTGTGCAACGGATGTTCAAAAATTACTTTGTAAATATGGGCTCTACCTCAGTGATTATTGCCTGTCGTCTTAGCACTATGTTGTTGGGGATTGCCTTTCCACAAGAGACTTCAGCAATCCCAGTTTTTCTAACTGAATAACTGTCATTTTCCTTTACTACTACATGTAGTTGCAGAGGGAGTGTTACAGCTTCACGAAAACATGGCTATTTGCCTGTTTCAGATGTGTACAGTACAGCCTGTGTTATGTCCATGACTTGATTTTGCAAAACTTTCTCTTCCAAAACGTTTTGACTTTACTGCTTACGTTCCTGGATTTGAGTTAAACAGACAACTTCTGCTTTCATTTGGCGTTGTATCTGCCTACAACAAAGGGAGAAAACAGAACTTCTACGTGTTTTGTCTTTTGTTTGCTGTTTAATGACATTGGAGCTAAGTAATCTGTGCAGTGAAGCCAGTGATTCAGTGAGGTGCTGTTAGGTCACAGGAAACTCTGTGCCTGTGGCAATCTGTCACTTGGCACTGCTGTTTCCGGAGCGAGCCAGAGTCTGAAGAATTTCTTAAGTGTTGTCCTTGTAAGCGCTTGTCAAGGTATCTTCCCTCAGCAAGGTCAGACCCTAGCTAGGCTGCAGTAATTGAACTGTTCCTGAAGATTTCGAATCTAAATGGACTATTTAAGCTATTTTGGCATTTGACTTTGCAAAATGGCTTGTCGTACTCTTTTTTTGTTAAATGTTTGACTTCCTGACATCTTCATTTTCAGAGGCTGCAATTTGGGTTTGATCTCTGCCCAAGACCACTGTTTAAATGAAGGGCTTTAAATTATTGAAATTGCAGGAGGAAAGCATTTCATATTCTCTTTAGGCATGTGTTCAATTGAACTTGTATCAGGTTTTATACGGAATCATCTTGACACAAATGAGGCAACCTTCTCAAGTGTGTGCAATTCACTGCTGGCAGAAATAGCCACGGTACATTTGGCGGGGCTTGGGGGATGGGTTGGGTTTTTTTAGGTGCTCGAATTAACAATAGTCTCCTACCATACTGGATATCTTAATCTGTGCTCCCTCTTCAGCTTCTCTGATCTTTAGCAAAGATTTTAATTTTTTTTTTTTTTTTTTACTTCACAAGGGCTCGTTGTGTCTGTAACCTCATTCTCATGAACTCATTTTTCTGAACTAGCTGTCTTTGATGTGGGGTAACTGTTCTATAACCCAAGCTGAGCTTGATAATCTCGGTGTAGGAAACATGGTGGTAGATGTCTGGTCTTACGGACATTTGCCTGTAAGAGAGGGTTTACTCTGCATTTTAAACATTTTCATCATGGATTGTTTCGTGGGGCATGGATAGCCTGCTTGACCTGGCTCTTACATGGGACTTTTAGCCAACTCACAGTCACCTAAAAAGCTTTTTGAAGGCTCAAAATAGTCCTTCTGTATCAAGTCTCGTTAGAAACTATAACTTCCTCTTTAAAGATAAACAGATACAGAATTTAAGATACGTAGGTTTTAACCTTTAATCTGTCATTCTTCCATATTGTAGAAGGTGCCCAGACTTGCAGACTGCTTTCTACTTGGGGTTTGGTGTTTTCACCCAGAATTCCCCTCAGAACAGGAGAGCTTTCTAGCACCAAGTTTAACAGTGATGTATTCCTGTGAGAAGCTTCTGCTTTGGACAAATTGGTGTTGCCATGCTGAAGAAGGAGCTCCTAAAAGACTGTATTTAATTCTGGCTGGTCTGTGAACAGGTGAGTGCAGGGTTGGCAGATGTCCTTGTCAAGAAGCGTATATTAACTCAGTGATAACGTAATTAAGATGAGTTGTATGTGTGGGGATGGAGAGGGAAGTAGCCGTAATTGTTCCTCCACGTTGGGCTTTATTTGGTGCTTTGAATCGATTCGAGGCAACTGTCTCGGGGCCAACTTATAGGCAATATAGCTGCCAGCTTCTCCTCCGAAGCCCTGGTGAGCTAGCTTTGCTAGTGCTTGGGGAGGAATTGTGATCTGTGAGGTGGCAACAATTTGGAGGCACTTGTCCTATGGACTCTCCTGCAAGCAAGAAGAACACGTGCTCCTTGAACACTTTATGCCAGTGATTTTTCTCCCCCCTACCACGGTGGCAAAGCTGCGTGCTCATGACATTTTTCCCTTGAAGCTGCAAAACTCCACTCTGCGTGCGCTGTGCTGAGACCTGCAGCCAGTTTAGGAGGCTGCAATCTATTTGTAAGTTCATGTTAGCTACAGGCTGAGCTGCTAAGCCTTACTGCAGGCCTGGAAATTCAAGTATGCTAGTAAAAGAGAGGACCCTGGAGGATTTGCTCTGCCTGTGTTCGTTGCCCAAGCGGGGAAGCTATTCCAGATGGCTGTATCCTGCACAGGTCTGCTGAGATCTGATCATCTTGCAGGAGTCTGGGCTGATGCTGCTATGAGGTCAGCGTGTCAGCTCTGTCTTGGGAAGGAGGTGGGGAGAAAAGAGACTTGCACGAAGATGATCAGACTTTCCTCCCTCAAGCTTTCATCATGAAGGGAGGTTCTCCCTGACCAGCACCAGGGTTAATGCAGTCAGCATCAGCTAGGGGTTTGTGTTCGTCTTCCGAAGTGGCGTCAGGAGTGGCAGCAGGGTCCTCTGCATCCAAAAATCTCTGTGTCCTTTATGATTTGCCTAATGCCCTGTTGTGAAACCAAGATGGAACCAGAAGGAATGAGAAGCAAACCAGAAACCCCGCTTCCAACCAGAGCTGGAGCACAGGCTCGGCGCTGCCTTCCCCGTCCCTTCCTGCTTGCGTGCCCAGGCAGCAGCATGGTCCTTGCTTTCCTACCTCTGTTGGGTTTTGTATCCTGGTAACATCGCTCCTGTTAGGTGCAGAAAACTCCCTGCGGTCCTTTGTGCTGCTGTGAGGGCTGTAGCTCTGGGGAGCATGAACAAAACTCACCCCCAGGTACAGTCCTTCTCTTCGGAAAAATCTTATGTGCAGCTGTTTCCTAAAGTACATGTGTTCTTGATAACATTGTTTGTCTGACCTCTTTATCACGGGTTTCTGTGAGATTTTGAGTTGTTTCTACTTAACATAATTTGATACAAAAGGAAAGTATTGATATAAAGTGCTGGATTTGCATTAGTGTTTGTTTTACAAATGGGTAACTAAGATTTAAAAGGTGGTCTGATTGATTGCTTTGCAAATTAAATCCGGGCCACGTTTCCACCAAGGCAATTTTTGCTTCTATGTAAAAATAAAGGAATACATTATATATTCCTGGGTAAGATGGTATGAGAACTAGAAAGGCATACCTTGTGTGGTTACAGTGTGCTGCTTCTGTAAACGGTCTTTTATTCCTTTCCTTCTAGAGAAATGGTGATGTTGCTACTTTTGAGTCAACAAAGTCCTTCTCTGAAGAAAGAGGTAACAAATAAAATGTGGAGCTCAACACTTTTATTATTAAAGTATAAATCAGTTGAAATTATCTATGTAATGTAAAATACAACCAGCATTTATGGTCTGTTGAGACTGATTCCTGCCCCCCCCCCCCTTCTGTGTAGTGAAATGTCCAGACTATAAAATTAATAAACTTAAGCTGTTCTTTGTTGGCCTGGAGTTGGCAGTCTTACGGTATAGTAGCATGATAGGTATTCTTTGTCTGCCACAGAAGGGCTCATAATGAACTTGCTATAGGCTTTCTATATGTTTTAATAGCCAAACTTCAGCAAATTTTGTCTGTATTAAGAAGGAGAAGGTGAGATCGAACAATCAATAGCAAACCTGTAGATCGGGTTGTAACAACACTTCATCACTGTCATCATTTTATACTCGTGTCTATTTGCAACTGTTGTGCTTTCTGGTCAAAAGTGTTGACTTGTGGACACAGACATGCTGTAATTCACCACTTTTAAGCTGAAATGTTCTGCGTTTGATTCCTGCTCAAGCATGACGGAGGGGGTGGTTACTGCAGCCGGGATCCCTTTGCTGTTGAGCAAAGGCCGTGCCTTCACTTGGTGTTTGTACAACACAACAACAAAGTAAATATGAAGCACAGCTAAGACAAATTCTAACTTTTCGATCAAAGCTCTTTAAATTCAGAAATACCAAAATCGAATTATACATGCAGGGTTGTCTTAAGTGACTGGTTACGTGTTTCCCAGATGATCACATTATTTTTTTTTCCTGTTGGTCTGGAAGTACAAAGGAATGCAAGAAAATACAATGTTGGTTTAGAGACAAAGCACTGGTGCTGCAGAGAGCTGAGATGAGGGCAGCTGATCGGTGTTGCTCTTACGTGTGCTGCTGTTGTGTTGCAATGGCTGTGGGTTTGGCCTTTAGCTTCTGGATTTGGTTTGATTTATGTATGTGTCTTTCTGAAAGTTGGAGTCCCTGGAAGGTTGCTGCCCTTTGTACCCTGGAGATGTCTTTGGGGAGGGAAAGGGCTGCTCTTTGGCCAGTTCCCACCATTTTAGGCTGATAATTCAGCCTCGTTCTGTGGGAGCGTTAGAGTCCTGGTTGGGGCAGGAAGCCCGAAATGCTGTAAAATGAAATTTTACCTCTTGAGGAGTTTTGCTGTGGGCTCTGGGAAGGCACCTTTCCTAGCCTTACACCGACCTGCCCTGTGTTTTGGCTGTTCCCGATGTGAAAAGGGCATTGCTGTCCCACAGGGTTGGGCAGGGGCTTGGCCTTCTCCACGCTTCTGCATCCGAGTGTGTTGGGCGAGCTCTGATGGAGATGTGACGTTTGTGCTGTTCGGTCCCAATGCTCCGCAACGGCAGCATGGGCTCTTCCACACTGCAAGCAGCGAAATTCCCTATGAGGATGTGTTTAACATCTAAGTCTGGCTATTAAAACTCAACCTCTAAACCCCAGCAGCCTCCTACCAGTCCCACATGCAGAGCCCCTGAAACATCACCCTTGTGGCTCTGTGCCATTCCCCTCTGAAACACCCTGACCCTGTTCAGCCCTGTCAGACCCTTCCCCAGCCCCTCACCTCTTGCTCTTGCCTCCCAACAGACTGCTGCCAGCCACACAGTGCCCGTGCAGGCTGCACACGGAGACATGCCTGCATTTCTGCCACGGCACTGCTCATCCTCGCTGCTGTCGTGGGCTTGGCAGTGGCACTGGGACTCCTGCCACGTGCGCCAGGTTGGTATACCAAGAGTCGTTATATTTTTGGTAAGGAAGGTAGAAAATGGTGTTGCGTGAGAAGAGCCTTCATGTCCATCACCGTGCGTGAAGTGGTGGTTCCCAGCGCAGGCCGGGAGGAAGGAAAGGGACCAGCAGGGTGGTACGGGGCTGTGCCAGCTTTGCGCAGCCCAAGTCGCCACCAGCCGTTCCTCGGCTCTGCTGTCCTGCTCTGTAGGGCTGTGCTAACTCTGGGTGGCACAGTCATGCTTCAGACCACTGGTATAGTTTTCAGACTCTGCCATGAACCTACCAGAGATTAATCCTGGGCCCTGGTTATTTCCAGAACAACAAATGAATTTCAGAAATCCTCCTTTATTCCCCTTGATCTGTTCCTCATTCCATGAAAATGTTGGAAAATAAAGTATTTCTTGCTTTCCCTTCAGTGAACCGCTTCTGTGCAGCCTCCAATAACCAGACAGGCTTCTTGTGCGATGACAGAGTGATCTGCATCCCGGCCAGCCAGGTCTGTGACGGAGTCAGCAACTGCAGGAACAGAGAGGATGAGCAGGAGGAACTCTGTGGTGAGCGGTTTTGTTGCGACCGTCCTCCCCGCACTGGTCTTTCCTGTTGTGAGACAGCAGCCGGTGTCCCGCTAATCCTCCTCCATGCTTCTGGCCACATATGTGAGCAGATAAGCCTGGTAGATCCTTTGTAGGGCAGACGCTGAGAGATGGCACTGCCCAAAACCCAGCAGGAGTGCCAGGAATCAAAGACTCCAAGCTCCTCTGATCTTCCTAGGGTGTTTTTAAACAATGATGCAGTTTAACCAATGGAGGAAAACTGTATGCCTACACAGTTAATTCGTGTCCAGTTACCCTGGAAAAAACCTCATTAAAGCAGAAGCCTAGGGCACCCAGACTCTGCTTCTGGGTCAGTCACGAGCATCCCTTTCCCTCTCCAACCACAGGTTCCCCATCTGCGGTGACATTCGTGCCCTGACACTGCACGGGGAAGGACTGACCGACCCCCCATGACAGCAGCCTTTGGTAGCTGCCATCCCCATTTTAGCTGGTGCATCTGTGCCCGGTGGAGTTCAGCACATGTCCTGTGTGTCCACCCTTGCAGGTGACTTGCCCCGCAGCCTTCCGGGATACCTGGTTTTCCGCTGCAGTAACCCTGGGTACTGGGTCTATGCCGATCAGAGGTGTAACGGGATGAACGACTGTGGAGACTGCTCTGATGAGATGGGGAGCTGTAAGTCTCTCTTCTGGCTACTGTTGGGCAAAAGGTCTTTTCTGCTGATGGATTGAAATAGGCTGTACAAGTGTGGTGCTCACTGATGCTGCTGGAAACGCCTGGAGACTGGCATCCACTGCTAAAACACAAAATAGCTAGGATAGGGCATGAGTATGAACCATGCAGGCTCCATCCCATCAGCTGCCAAGGGCTCTGTGTCAAAGCCTGGTGGCAACCAAGAGGGAAAGGGCTCTGTGCTTTGCTCCCAGCCCCAAAAGTCACTCCTCCTCCATGGCTTGCTGAGCGTGGAGCAGTTTCATCGTGATGCGTAGCTGTAGGCAGCAGCGATCATTCAAACTGGCCTTTGGTTGTTGGTCTGGAGATGGGTACATTTCTGAGCCAGGGGGACTGAGCGTGCCTCAGCAGCTTCAAAGCCATCTAGATCCTGCTCTCACTAAAATGTGTAGCAGGTTTGTTCCTAAGTCACCCCTGTGGCTTTGAACCTCAGGAGAGACCTGCCTGTGTCAGCAGCTTTCTCTAGAGTAGCTTGCTAAAAATATAAATGACATCTAGTTGTTCCTCCCAGGATAGCATGCCTGCCACGAAGGTCATTGCAGTGTCATGGTCCCTGGTTGTCTCCCACGAGTGTCCTCTTTGGTGGGTTCACAGATTCAGGGTCATCACCAGTGGCTTTTCAGTAGCTGCCAGGGATGAAAGGGTAGCTACCTGCATAAGAAAGGAGGGAAGGGGTCAGTGCAGCAGAAGCATTTCTGTTCCCTGTTTTCCATCCCTCCCAGTGGCCGCCTGCCCCCCGTGCGGGTTGGAGTGGTGGAGCTGCAGCCCTGTGCTCTACGAGTACTGCTCCTGCGTGCCCAGGAGGCTGTGCCGGGATGGCGTCCAGCACTGCCTCAGCTGGTCCGATGAATACATCTGCAGACCGTGAAGTCTTGGCACCCAGCAGTGCTGGAGACAGCAGGGTGCTTCCTGCATTGTCACCTTTAAGCCTTGGTGTCCTCCTGCTCTGCCACCCGCTTGGGAAGCTCCAACCCAAGGAAGCCCTCATCAGCAGTGCTCTGACCGGTACGCAGTGGTACCGGGTAGTCCTCATGGAGGTGAGCCTTTCTAGCCTTTGGATTGGCACTTCCCTTTGACATGTCTTCACAATCCTGATCCCCATGGGCCAGAGGAGAAGCCTGGGTTTGTGTTCAAAGCACATCTGCAGATGGTTTCAGCAGCGGCTTTGGAGGCTCTGCATTGATGCTCCCAGGACGCTTCCTCAGGAACGCTGTGCTGAGAGTGACATGGTGGAGAGCTGCTGCACTGGCCACCTCCCACGCTCTTAAACCATGAAGGCCAACATGGAGAGTGTAATGGCAAGGAAGACTGAAGTGGGTGTTTCAGGGTTTGTGGGGATAAATCACCATGTCCCTGTGACCACGTAGCTGTCCCTGTGACCATGGTAGCTGTCCCTGCAGGGCAGGGGCAGGGAACTGGCATGTATATGAAATATACTTCTGTCAGGGCTGTGCAGTTCTGGAGCAGCAGCTCAGCAGGTTGAGAACAGCTGAGGGGCTGGGATGAGTTTGCACTGAAGATGGCAAAGAAAGGAGGAAAAAAAAAGTCGCAGCCTCAGAGCAGAGACCAGTAGAAAACCAAGTGCCACAGCTGTTCCCGGGGCAGTGTGGAATGACAGGGGTTCTGTTCGTTGCTCGTTCCGTTCCTCTGCCAGCATAGCAGACTCAGTCAGCCAAACCTTCAAAGCAGTCCTCAGGGTCTTTCTCTGCTCCTTTGAAAATCTCATCTGTGTCTAAAACATCGTCTCTGAGAAAAACCCACGTTTACAGTGAGTGCCCTTACTTTTCTAAGCCCAAAATAAACATCAGGCAATATTCTTCCCACCACCATCCCAGGTCATATATCTTTAAAAATAAAACCTTGTTCACTTATTTCCTCTCTGTCCTGTGATCTGCAACTCGGCATGTCACCGTGACTTGTATCAACCGTGAATGTTTCTTCTAATCTGTAGCTGGGATACAGCTGTAGATCTGAGAGATCTTTTTAAAATAGCTTTACTGTATTCTGACTCATACTTCACCTGGCATGAGATGGCAAAACTCTGCAAAACAGAACTGGTACTACGGGAAACTTTTAAAGCTGCATTTAATAACCTGTCCTTCTCCACAGCTGGCTAGGATGGATGGCTTGCCTTCTCCATGCCTGTAAAACATTACTGCAGTGCATTCAGTGCTGCAGCTCGGAAGAGAGGTTATGAGTTTTCTAGGTAAACATTTCTCACTTGCAAGCTTCCAGCCTCAATTAAAGGCTGAAATAGAGATGCACATTTTTACTGGAGAGTCATAGACATCTAACGCTTCCACAAGGCTGAGTTGGGGTTGGTAAATAAAGCCTGGTTTATTGTAGTTGCTGTTGTTCCTCTTATTACCCCAAAGTATGTTCTGGGGCAATCAATGAGGAAGTCTTGCAGCATTTCTTAATGCAAGGAGGGGTGATTCAGAGGCAGCACTGGGCAGCCTCTCTTTCCTGGGGGAGAAGAACTTCCTTCCGATTCAGATGGGGTTCAGCCACAGACTGTTTGCCCGTTCCTTGGCTTTGAAGTGGGAGGATGCGCAACAAGCTCTCTGCATTGGGAGGGTGCAGGTGCCTACGACTGCTGCATGCTTCTATGGGGCAGCGGTCAAAGAAAGGCAGGAGAGAAGGGGAAGAAGAATCTCATCCCTCATGATGGGAACTATATATGGATAACAGAACAACTGTAGTTGGTAAGAATTGAACTAATCAGCTGTTAAAAAATGCAGAAACCCTCATGATCAGCATAGGGCCCAGCCAATATGATTGGTAAAAAAAAAAAAGAATTTGCTCTGTATCAAAGATATTGGGACAGCCATGACTTTATGGAGCCTCCGATGTTTGCTGTGGTTGGGAAGAGGATGCTGGTTGGGCTGACCCATATGGCAGCTGCTGTATTCTCCCAGTCCAGTAATTGTCGATCGTTGCCACAGCTCACCTCTGCCAAGTTGTAAGAAGCTCCCAAAGGCGAAGAGGAAAGGGTCTGGGCATGCAATGTGTGAGCATGGGGAGTCGGACGTTTGTGCTTGCTGTGTGGAAGGCTGCTTCTCCACTGCAGCAGAAGTCAAGTGGTGGCTTGCCTTGGCTGGATGGGAACAATGTTGGGATCTGGGAATTCTTACTTCATTGCGAGACATGATAAAGAAGGCAAATGCCTGGCTTAAGACAGGAAAGATTCTTGTGCCACCTTCTCTCTCCTTCA